AACAATAGGTTTGACTAACGTCAGTAATTATAATAGATAACTACTTCGGCCAAACGGCATTATTCGATATATTGCAGCCAGCTTCGGCCTTCGGCCTCAGCTGGCTGCAATATATCGAATAATGCCGTTGGCCTCAGTAATTATCTATTAAGTATCACCCCGTCCTAAAACACATATATCATTTGTTATATCGATACCATCCGTTTGGACCTTGAAAAGTTGTTAATAGTTGTTAATAGATTCGTAATCTAATTCAATATTATGAAATGCCTCTGAAACATCTAACGCTGTGAATACTTTAGCACTTGTCAGAAAAGGCAATTTTTCTTCAATAGTTGGTATAGTGTAGACAGGTCTTCTTATTGCCTTATTTACAGTCAGACTTGGATCTATATAAATTCAAATTCTTCCGTCTGGTTTTTCTCTCACCAACATATTAGATAACCATTCTGTGGGCTGCGTTACTTGAGTTATCGTGTCTACTTCACACAATCTTTCCAATTCTTTATTTACTCTTCCCATTTTAGCTACAGGGATTCTTCTTCGTGGGCTTTGTACTGGCTTAACACTTGGATTAACCCCGATATGCAAAGGATCACCGAGAGGTTTTCCCCTTCCTGGCTTGAAAACATCCCTATAATGCGTAATAATTTTCTCTTTGGTTAGCTGCCCCAATGAAGTCCCCTTTCTTTCACTTTCAACACCTCGTCAGCACAAATCTTCAAATACCCCATCTTCTGTGCATCGCAACCACTCAACAATGCTGGCTTCTCTTCCGGCACATCAACGACCAGAAAGTATAATAAGTGGAATTTCCCCTTTGATTCACAACATAATGTAACTTGTCCTTTGGGTGCAATTTTCTGATTTCCATATGTGCATATTGTTGCAAAGTCCTTCCTAATTTACATCCCGAAAATTCTCACACATGATTTAATCTTGTTGACAGATTAGATCATCTTATAACACACCTGTACTTATAACTTGTAAAATTTTAGTAGCTTTCATAATTCCTGATGATGACTCAACAGTAGTCGAAACGTTGAATTAAAAATATGAATTTCTTCGGAGTTTCCATTGTTTTGTATTTTATTAGACACACTTGTGACACAGACTTGTGAGTTGCACAGTAGACTACAAGTACATTTCAAGTGTCGATATTCGAATTGTGATAACACATATGTTTACCACTCTGGAAGAGTAAAGTAAGTTCATTTAAAATTAATAACACTGCTACAGTAGAATTAGGTCACGTCTGTACATTGAGCTGAGTGCATCCCTGAGATTCTTGGGCAATGATTTCATATTTACTATAACAGACATGAAGTAGATTCCCACAGCTTCCATGTAGAGTGTGGTTCAAGTGAAAAGACTCATTTGGATACTTCAAATGTCGGGCAAAATGTGGATATGTTTATAGCACTAAAGCCACAAGAAACAGGTATTTATGCCAGTCAAAAGAACACAAATCAGCTAGTGCACATACAGTGAAATATATTGTTTGTTTCTTTTTTCTCTTATTTAGACATGAAAGACAAAAGCATCCAAGCTTTTCTCCACTGATCCCCCCAAGTGCAGAGCCAGCCAAGGAGGCTACACCCCCTGAAGACTATGTATACACTTACCATAGAGGAAAATTAGCATATGGCTAATACTGTTTGAGTTTAATGATGCTGTCAAAGAAGGTGATGGTGACCGACTATTTGATGTGTACAAGATGGCCGTTCTTTTGTACAAAGTTGGTGGCCATTATAAATATGCTTATGTGGTAATGCTCTACTTGGTCAAGGTTATGGCTGTACTGCCACCGTTTAGTGCTCACAACATGAAATGGAATCGCTTTTAAAATAAACATGGTGGCAAAGGGAAAAACATCTCATTAGATTTGAGAATGGAACAGCTTAACAAGCTCCTTAAGACATTGTGGAGAGGTCTGGGTGCAAATTTATCAGAAGAAAATGCACAAAGGATGGCCTGCTCTTTAGAATCATTAGAAATTGTGATGGACTCTATAGACAAAGATTGTCTTATGACAGGTGAGGATGGACATCGGTCACAAGGAAAGTCAGAAGAAGCGGTTAAGCAAATTGTGCTGACTTAATTGAGAAAGAGGCTTTCAATCATCAACCTGGTCGGGATGGTTACCCTTCATTCCCTAATTTCCCATCTAGTATACTTGATGGGCTTGACTATAGGGACCTTCACAAATGGATGATTAATATAAATTTATGTAAATAAATGTTATTTATTCATTATATTTTTAAATATTTATGTATTTTATACCCACTTCCCCTAAATATTATACACAGACTACTACATACCATCTAATTTGCTCATTCCAATCATCTGCGTAAAAGAACAACATATATGTGCCTCAACTTCTCTTTCGTGAAATTCTTTATGCTCATTGTAGTTATTGTGCACTCCTTTTGCTGCTGTTGTCTTGCCTGTCCTATTGATACTTGCTTTGCTTGTTCCAAATTCAGCTGAAGAACTGTTTTTTACAAATGAAGAGAATTCCAACTAAAGGAAAACAAGCATAAGATTAATGTTTGAATTCCATGAAAATTAATAAAAGTGCATTAAAAAATATTACAGATGCAGAAGCAAACTAAATTTCATGTAAAAGTTGCTATTTACCTCACAGAGATTAACTTTAGCATGCCAATCTGCTGCCTCTGGCTGTAACCCCTGAAGCTTGTCATACTCATTAACCATCTTGGTATGTTCATTGTTTCGTGCTCTTTCTTCAAAAAGTTGGTCACCATGAAATGCAACAGGTCATAGAATTTGCTTATTATCATCTAAGTAAGATTTTGGCACGTATTTCTCCTGATTTGTTATTAACAAATTGGCCATTTCACTGGCAACATTAGGATTTTTAAACTGCAGGCCCAAACAGCACTAAGAACAGTATAATAAACATACTTAGATTCAGGGATGGATTTACAGGGGGGTGGGGGTGAGGGTGGAGGGGGGAGGGGGTGCGAATCCCCCTAACCCTGGCCAGGGGGTGCAGGGGAGATGCTATTTTTCATGATAAAGCAAAAAATAGGTACGCTACGCGTACATGCATCTGCGCAAAACTGGAGTCATATTTAGTATTTTCATGAAAGGAAATGAATAATAATAATAATATTTAATATTTATATTGCGCAAATTAACATGTTATAGTATATGATCAAATGCGCATCACAACATAATTACACTAAAATTATTCTAAAAAATATAAAGAAGATTATATAGATTATATGTTACATGAAGTATTTATATTAAAGGCTTCTTGAAAATAATAAGTCTTAACTAATTTCTTGAAAATACTAAAGTTATGCAGATTTCTTATATACATAGGTAATTCATTCCAGATTTTTGGAGTGGAGGTTACGAATGCTCTGTCGCCGAGTGTTTTCTTTGTTTTTTGTACTATAATCTTCAAGCAATGTGCCTTCGGCAGATCTTAGACTATAGCACGATGTATTTCTTACTTTTAAAAGATTGACAAGATAGAGAGGTGCATACTGATGGATACATTTAAAAGCAAGCATGGCAATTTTGAACTTGATCCTTAATCGAACAGGACGCCAGTGTAATTTGATGAG